CCTCTAGAAGTCCGTTTGACACATATCGCGAACAACGAGCTGCGATGAGTCTCATATGTGTGCGATGCGGAAGAGGCTGAATCGAGTGTTCCGAATGCGCACGTATCCTAGATGGATTCTAGGTGGGTGGGCGATGTGTGCGATATGGGTCTGATACGGTAGGCCGACTACAACACTCCGAAATCCCTGATACGCGCATTGTTTACCGTAAATCCACACCGGCAACTTTGTCAATTTTTCGTCAATTCGAGCCTACATTTCTGGTTTTTCGATTATTCTTTTTTTTTTTTTGTGAAAAAGAGTTATGGCAGACTAAAAAATCGCTGAATTCTTGCAGAAACATGTCTTTCACTCGTCAATTGCTATGTTTTTCGCCAAAATAGGTGATATTGAGATTTTTTGATTTCACTTTGTAATTATTGTAAAAATCGTATTTTCAGGTGGAATAAAAGGTAAGTTGGTAAGTATACAATAATTACAAAGTTTAAATTATAAAAATTTTCAATTTTTCATGCAATTTCAAAAAAAGTGAAAGTGAGACATATTTTTTGAACAAATGAAAAAAAAACAATTTTTAGCGTTTTTTTCCCATTTTGTTCTGTTTTTGATTGCATATCAAACTTAAATGGAAACTGCCATAAGTCTTTTTCAAAACCAAAACATTGAGTTTCAAAAAATCAGTAATATGTCGTTCAAAATATAAAAAAATATGGAAATAAAGGTAAAGTACGAAATCGGAAGACCTGAACAAGATCACATCACAATAGAACTTAACTGATACTTCTAGGAACCCCCAACCAACGTTTTAGTTCATTTCATCGAGTGCCAGCAAGCCAGGCGAGGAGATGCTTTGCGGCGGTGGTGTGCCCCATATGTCCCGTATATGCCCCATACCGGCGTCCTTTCCCTGTACCCAATTCATCGGCGCGTTCTCCGTCGCCCATCCATTATGCGTATGCGCGCCCAGGAACTGTGGGTACAGAATCGGTTTGTCTCCCGATTTTGTACTTTTTTAAAGGAAAAGGTGGGCGCGCTCGTATTTCTACATGAGGATGCAAATGGCTTTTTGGGCATTTTTGGCCTTTTTCGCCCCTTTCAAAAATCAGGTGTTTCGAGCGAGGATCGAACTCGGGTCTATCGCTTCACACACCGGCGTGTAAACCAGTGCGCTTTTCGATCGACAAAAATCTTTGTTGTTTTTGATATATAAATAACTTCCTTTTTTTGACGTGAAAATGTGAATAATTTCAAAATTCCTAATTTATGAAATCCTGAGATTCCAAGATCTCAAAATTCAGGAATTCTGGAATTCCGGGAAAAAAATCTAAAATTTAAAAAAACTGAGATTCCGAAATTTAGAAATTAGAAAATTCAGAAATTGAGAAATTGTCGAGTTTTAAAATCACAGTTCCAAAAATTCTGGAATTTTCAATCAGCGTATTATCTCCAATACAAGCCCATGTGCTCGGAGTGTGGGCTTCTATTTTTCGATGAACCTCGCGGGGTGGGCTTCAAATGGAGGTGGGCTTCTATTAGAGGAAATACGGTATACTAGAATCAAGATTTTCGAGTTTCTGGTTCTAAAAAGTGTATTTCCTTTGATTTTAAGAATATTCTAAATTTCTAATATTTCAGAAATGTTTGGAATTCCGAGGATGATTTCTGAATTGGGATACTTTTTTGATTTGGCGCAAAATTCAGGTGTCCCAGTGTAAGGTTAACAATGCGTTTTTGCCTAAACCTATGATTTTAAACAAAAAATTGAAACAAATTTGCACCGAAAAATGTGAAAATCTTACTGATTTTCGCTAATTTCAGTACTTTTTGACTGGAATTTTTCACATTTTTTGAAAAAATTATAGGCCTTCCCTTTTATTGGCTATCCGAAAAATGGTGCTAAATTCAAAAAATTTGTATGACCAGAATTCGAATTCAAAATTTACCACAAAAATATCGGTAGGAATAGGAAAAATTATTTTTTCTTCATAGCTATTCAGATTTTTTTGGTAATTTTTCAATATTTTGAAAATTATTCTATTCTTCCTAAATTTTGTGTTCTCTTGAAAAATCTGTAGTTTTTAATTGTATAGCATGTCTATATTGAAATATGTCATCTGTAATTTCAATCTACAAAAAAACTATTTCAAACGTTAATCACGATTTCCTTTTGAGTTGTGGAATTGCCGCTTCAGAGTTGAACATGGAATGAATTTCACAAATAACGATTCCGAAAAAGTATTTTCAGCATATAAGGCAAGTCAAGTATGGTGTTAAAAAATTTTGCAGAGACAATTTCATCACAATGAATATCAGCAAACACGCACGACTATTAGGAAAACAATTGAGTGGACAGCCTCTCTTGTTCGCGATGCTAACATGTGCCGAAATGTCCTCAACAGAAACTCTAAAGAAACGCCTCTGTTCAAAAATCAACATTTCCTTAGAGCAGTGCTATATAATCATCCGAATTTCCAGTCATTTTCCGAAAAACTATTTCCATTCATGGCATTACCAAAAGATCATCATTGAAACGTTTCTTTTCTTTTGAATATAATAACTTTTTTGTTTTTTTAAATGAATTAAATTGGATTTAGATATTACAGACAAACCATTATAGCATCAAAAAACTCTGAATTCGGAATTTAAATGCAATTTTTAACCGAAAATTAATTCATTGAAAAATCGAGGAAAAAGTGTGCGGCGACATTGCAATTTAGGCTCCGCCCCTCACCCCGCCCACTTTCCCCGGTTTTTCTTCCCCGATTTTTTTCCCCGGAATTTGCGGGTAGTGTGCTGTGTCGATTGTTGACAATCGACAAAAATCGACGAAAATCGTCAAAATCGGTGTCGATTTCGTCGACTCCATCAAAAATCGACATTCAAAAAGTCGACAGAAAATCGACTTTTCAAAAGTCGATGAAAGTGAAAATCGACAAAAGTCGATTTTTGTCGATTTTGAATCGACTCAAAATCGACAAGAATCGACAGAAAATCGACTTTTGTCGACTTTTGTCGACTTTATTGTCCGAGAGAACTACACGACCGGTGACCTAGAAACTGCCTGTGACCGGGGTATTTTTCATGAAAAACAGGCATTTTTCATCGAATTTTCCACTGAAAAACCGTATTTTTCTTGTTTTTTTTTTGAGTGTTTTGTTTTTTTTCTGTTTCATTTACGACATTCTTGCTTTTTGCAGATGTATTCGTCACAAAATCTATCTAAAGCGTGGCGATACTTCGAAAAACAAAATAACGGACAAACTGTGACCTGTAAACTGTGCGGAAGGAGCATAAAGTTCTTTGACCACAACGATGCATCAGCACTTAAACAGTCACCACGAGAAAGAAGTTGAAGAAATGGAAAGATCGGTAAGCAGAAAATTATATCAAAATCTGAGTTTTCTTCAGATCTACGAAGAAAAATACGTCGACGACTGAAGAGTACGAATATGACGACGAGAATGATGACTCAGAAGGCGAAGAATATTACGAATCCAGAGAGCATAACGATGATACTTTTGGAAACGATTTGGCCCAAATAATGAAACATTAATTCCTTATGCTGAACTTTGTTCTTCTTCTTCCCTTTTTTTAATTTTGTCGCTTTGAATTTTCTTCTATTTTCCTTGCCATCATATTTTGTACCCCAGTTGAAACTAAGTTTTACACTATTTGTTTTTTATCCATAAAAATAAAGTTGTTACTCTAAAATAAAGTTGTTACAATGATTTCTTCAAAAAATTAGAAAAAAACATTTCTCGAGGTGAAATTTTACTTTGAAGTCCGGAAAAGTCGATTTTTCGTCGACTTTCGTCGATTTTTTGTCGACTTTTGTCGATTTTTCTGTCGATTTTAAGTCGACGCAAAATCGACAAGAATCGATTTTCGTCGACTTTCGTCGACTTAAAGTCGACAAAAATCGACAACGAAAAGTTCGATTTTCATCGACAAATAGCCTTTTCGAATTTGTGAATGTCGACTGTGTCGATTTTCAAAGTCGACAAAAATCATCGATTTTCGAGTCGACTCGGCACTCTATTTGCGGGGTCTCGCTGAGTAGCGGGGTCGCTATGCAGACGCGCCCCATGGCTATGCGACAGAGAGCGTAGGCAGCAGAGAAGCGCCTGCGTCTCCTCGCTGTGCACACTGTCTCTCTTCGCATTTTATGCATTTTCCTTCGAATTCGTCGTTTTGAATAATTCGAATTAAAACACATTTTAGACATGGCGAATTCAGCGAAAACTAGAAAGAAGAATGTACCAAAAAAAAGGTTAAAAATTAAAAATTTTTTAATGCAAAATTCTCAAATTTAAGGCTCCTCAACACCGCTTCCGACGTTATTGTTCTTCCACAGGCTGCAGAGCAAGACGATGTTGATTCCAGCAGTGATTCAGATGTGCCGGTCCGAAAAATGTGAGCTCAAACTTTTTAAAAAATAATTATAAATTTGAAATAGATATTTTTCAGTGCTGCTGGTCCCAGTTTCGATAGTTCCTCCTCTGACAGTGACAGCGAATTCGAGGGAATGACTGCTCAGGAAATTTTGGCCACAATTCCTAAAAAGAAACGAATCGTCACCATTCCAACGTCTCTAAGCGGTTGCCCCCTTCAACATCGTATCAAAGTCGAGCCCCATTATCGCCGACAACTCGAACTCAGCGGCATTGAATTCGACAGAAATTTCTTCTCATTCACAAAAGAAGAAGACGATAAAATCCGCGAAAACTGGAGGGAATTCTCGAGAAAACGCAAAATCACTGGACACATCTTCGACTTTTTGGGATTGGATAAAAACGGGATGAAGCAGGAAATCGATGTTCAATCTAATCTCACAGTTAAAGTGAAAATCTGGCCAGCGCTGTGTAAAGGACTCGAAAATCGATATGCGAAGACTGTGAGACAACGAGTTTCGTATATTTTTCATCCGTATTTTCGCGAAGAGCAAGATTACGATATGCTGGAAGTTGAGAGGTAAGATATTCTTATTTTTCCGAAAATCACAAATCTCTAGCTCAATTTTGAAGGGAGTTATGGCTGAAACAGTTCTTAGGACGCGCGCAGCCGGAGGTGGTTAGCAACGGGGGCGACAGTGGCGCTGTTGCGCTGGCCGCTTGTCACCTCCGGCTGAGCTCCTCCAAGCAAATATGACTTTAACTCGCTTCAAAATTGTCCTAAAAAGATGAACATGTGAATTGGTACAGTGAAAAATTTGCCGAAAAACATACAAAAACGAGAAAATTTCATCCGGAAAATATAACTATTTTCAGGTCATTGTACTGATTTTTGTCGAGTTTTTCTGTTAAATATAAATGTTAAATTTGTCTTGAAATTCCCCATTTTTCGATTCAAATTTCATCTTGCTAGGGCAATTTTGAAGCGAGTTAAAGCCACATTTGCTCGCAGTACGCGCTCAGCCGGAGGTGACTGTCGCGCCCGCCGCTAATCGCCTCCGGCTACGCGCGCCCTGAGAACGGTTTGAGCGATAACTCGCTTCAAAATTGAGCTAGAGATTTGGTTTTTGCGCAAAAATAAGTAAAAAAAATGTCTGATTTTTCCAAAAATCTCATATATATTTCAGACGTCTCGACGCCGACGAAACAATGGCTGAAATCTCGGAATCTATGAAGATCCCACCGCGCTTCTTGGACAGAAAATACGCAAAAAGAGGGCCACCCAAAGAAAAAATGTTGTCCCAAAATCAACGAATCCATATGCTGAAATTGCTCTACGAGTCGATTATCGATAATGGAGATCACAAGTTTTTGTCGAGGAATTTCGATTGGAAGTTGTTCAGAAATAAGTGAGTTTTCCGGCAGTTTTTTCACTGGCAGATTTTTTGCTTTTTTGCGGGAAAATGACGGGAAGATAGAAAATAAAAATCAAATAAGTCGGAAAATAAAAAACTTTTGATAGCGAAAAAGTTAACTGAAAGCACACGATAATTGAGAAAAAAACTCAAGAAAATGGAAAATATTTCTAGGTTACCGTACTGATTTTTGTGGAGTTTTTTGTCAAATACCATCCTCCTATTTGACTTTAAATTCCCCCGCTTATTTTTCTTTAAATTTCATCTTTCTAGGGCAATTTTAAAGCGAGTTAAAGCCATATTTGCCCGCAGGACGCGCTCAGCCGGAGGTGACTGTTGCGCCCGCCGCTAATCGCCTCCGGCTACGCGCGTCCTAAGAACGGTTTGAGCCATAACTCGCTTCAAAATTGAGCTAGAGATTTGGGTTTTTGCACAAAAATAACACAATAAATTGAGAAAATGAAAATATTCTTCGGTTACTGTAGCTGTAGCGTGTTTCTTCTATTGCTCCATTTTTATATGCCAAAATAATATCCAAAATCATACATGTCAAGAATTCCTGGAATTAGAGTTGACGAGCAAAAAAACTTTTTCGGATCCAGGAATTCAAAACATGTATGTCCAAAATCCCCCATTTTCCGGACAAACCGACAAACAGACGCTGATTTTCAGATGCCGCGAGAAGTCAATCGATCCACCGCCAAATGCTAGAACGGTCAATGAAACGTTTCGAAGAAAGTTCGATCGCGTCGAGCAGAAGATTTTCAGACATTTGGAGCCAGCGCCAACGCTCAAACAGAAGCTCATGTATGTCCATGAGGCATATCTTCGATTTCATTTTAAAGTCACTCCGCATAGAAGGAGGGGCGATGTAAGTTTTTTATTTAATTTTTCATTTTGACTGAAAACACTGAAAAAAACGCTGAAAATCTCATTAGAAAACCGTGAAAATGTCATTTTACCATCAAAAAATTTTTCCGACTTTTTTAATGCGAAAAATAACAGGAAAATAGAGCAAAATCATTGAAAAGCAAGAAACATCAGAAAGAATTTCCGGATTCATAAACGCGATTTTTGTGCGTTTTCCATCAATTGTTTTTCTATTTTCCATAGCACACTCTCCCACAGAACAATTCGAACTGCAAATTAATTTTTGATCTACAGAAAAAAAGTTTGGCGCGATCACAATTGCAGGTCTAAAACCATAATTTCAGAATTTTTTATCTGATTTTGTGGAGTTCCAAGATGATTCAAATGATTCTTTAAAAAATTAATTAGTGGTTATAGATTCTTGTATGGTCGTTTTCCGGAAGAAAAAATGTCAAAAATGGTCATTTTTGAAAGTTTTTTACAGAAAAAATCTATCTCCTCTTTCAGTTTTTGACATTTCTAGGAGTTCTATATTTCAAAAAACCGCAATTATTTTCTCTACATTTTCTATGGATGAATTTTTAATTTGTCTGATAAAACTTTTTTTATAATTCAAAAA